CTGCAAGTCGACGGCCTGGATGCAGCAAAATCCCAGGTTTCCCATCTCCCACTTGGACTGGAGTCTTCTGGATACCTACAGACAACCAATGGTGTGCATCTGATCGACGGCCGTGGCTGACCAGCGGGTTGACTTTGACTTTGGGCCTGATTCTCCTGTGCTGGGTATGTGTGGGGCATAATCAGTTCCACACGGGCCCAGCAGGGCCCCACCAGGTAGACTAGGGGTTAGTAGAGTGTAGGGTCTGTGTCGTTTTGGCCCACATTGGGGCCCATGGGGTCAGTAGGTCAGTTTAGGCCTGAGGGGAACCGGTACCACATAGAGGCCCTGAAGGCCTCGTTTAGGGTACAGGCCCTGGCACGCGTTTTGGCGCCAGACCCTGGAAATTCAGAGGTCTCGCCGTTTCAGTAGGCGCTTGGCCAATTGAGGCCCACCCTCACTTTGGGCGCCAAACTTTTGAGGCCCAGCCTCAGTTTGGGCGCCAAACTTTTGAGGCCCAACCTCAGTTTGAGCGCCAGACGCAGCAGCTGAGGCCAACCCAGCGCTATATATAGCTGAGTCCAGCCTCAGTCCAGGCATTGCGTAGATGTACCGCGTAGAGGCATTCTTTGGACAACATCGGCACAGTAGCGGTCTACGATACGGTTGTAGTCTTCCAGCGCTGGGCGCTGATAAGACTTAGAGTGGTGCAGGTAGGAGGGAGAGACTGTGGTGGAGGCCAGGGGACTTACCTGAGACTTACCTGTAACGCCATCGCTCCAGCTTCTTCTTCAGCACGTCCGTACCTGCATCAAGGCTCCCCCTTTCGCAGGTCAGTACCTGGTACCGAGAGAGAGAGAGAGAGAGAGAGAGAGAGAGAGAGAGAGAGAGAGAGAGAGAGAGAGAGAGAGAGAGAGAGAGAGAGAGAGANGAGAGAGAGAGAGAGAGAGAGAGAGAGAGAGAGAGAGAGAGAGAGAGAGAGAGAGAGAGAGAGAGAGAGAGAGAGATCTTCTTCTTCTTCCTCCTCCAGTCCACCACCTTCTTCTTTCCTTCCAGCGCTCTGCCTTCTTCTTATCAGGCTGTGTGTGTGTGTGTGTGTGTGTGTGTGTGTGTGTGTGTGTGTGTGTGTGTGAGAGAGAGAGAGAGAGAGAGAGAGAGAGAGAGAGAGAGAGATTGACGACATTCGGGATTCAGACTCGACATTGGACAGAGATGTTGTGGGGGGACTATTTGGGATTGATATCAGAGACATTTGGGTTGACGATATTCTCATCTCCTCCCCCCCTCTTCTTCGTCTCTTCCCCCTCCTCCTCATCTGTGTATGAGCTAGGCCTGGCGCCTTCGTCCTTGTGTGTGGCGCCAAAACATTCACACCATGTGATGATGATGATGTATGTCCAGTCTACATTTTGACATTGATTGGGTCTGATCATTGGTATACCAGTCTTTCGCTGTGCTATCTTGCACTATCTGTGAGAGGTCGGTTCTTGGTTCTGGTCTGTACCATCTTAAGTATGCGACAGTTCGGTATCGGAGCAAACCTCTCGAAAGAGGATCTGCCCAATCAAGGAACCAACTTGATTGATTAATTGGTTGATTGATTGATTGACCAATTAAGTAGGGATTCGTCAAACTTCTGCCAAAACAAAATTCTTTCCTTTTTTCTTTCTAAATTTGTCACCTTGATTAGCTCAAATTAGTGCTAATCCCGCATTTTCGCTAATCACGAATTAGCGCTAATCCGCAATTAGCATTCTCTAACCCTAATCAAATAACTACGTAACAGATTAAAGTCTTGCAACTTCTTTTTTTTCTTTCTTTCTTTTGAAACGGTTTTCACCTTTACGGTAGCAGATGCAGATCCCAGGGCTCGATCCCCAGGCTTACCCGTGTACAGTATCAGTTGCCCTATGTGTGTTTGAACCCGCGACCTGTCTTGCGAGTCGCCTGTCTGTTTGTTGTAGGTTAGTGTGGTTGTCGGGTCTTGAACCGTAGGTCTGTCAAGTAGGGGTCGTAGCTGTGTAGAAGTCGTAGCTGTTACAGTCCTGAAAGGTCAAGGTCGTAGCTGCTACAGTCCCGAAAGGCCAAGTCTACAGTCCTGAAAGGTCAAGGTCGTAGCTGCTACAGTCCCGGAAGTGGCCTTTCGAGAGTTGCTCAGGTTAGGCTAGAGGCAAGTGGGCAAGTGGGCAATCCAACTTTGTCTAGTCAGCGGTACCCAGTCCCCGTTGCACTTTGTCCAGTCAGCAGGTACCATGTGGGACTGTGTGCACCGTGGGTCCGATGGAAAGGAGCAGACCAGCGACCAATCCAAGTATAAATCAAGAGGGAGGGTCCAGCCATTCATTCATTCTGCCTGCGAGCCGTGCGGAAGCGCTGCTGGAGTGTCTTGTGCAAGGAGGTCTGCAGGTGCCCGAAGGAGAAGAGGGCAGTGAGAGAGACGAAGCGGCCATAGCCGCTAGTTAGTGGTAGAGGTAGAACGCAGCCATAGCTGCTGTCAGTTATAGGTAGGCTGTAGCGTGTATGTGTGTGTGTGTGTGAGTGTGTGTGGTGTTGTGTGTGTGTGTCAGGACATCCAGGGAGATCCAAAGTGCACGATCAAACTGCTGCCATAGCCGAAAGTGACAAGTTTGAATCTGAGCTGTGTTCATGGCATTGTTATCTCTAAGCTTTGTGTGGGCGCTAGTCGCCAGCTTGATCGTCATCTGTTCGTATGCTTGCTGAAGGTCGAAGCGGACAGGTCTGATTGCATTGGTATCAGAGCTGGTTCCCACTGTTCCACCCGCCATCGTCGTCGTCACAAAGAAGAAGGAGAGAGAGAGAGAGAGAGAGAGAGAGAGAGAGAGAGAGAGAGAGAGAGAGAGAGAGAGAGAGAGAGAGAGAGAGAGAGAGAGAGA